GAACTCGACCACTGAAACATTTTATCCGGCGCCCAAAAATCAATTTAACTATCACTTACTCCCACATAATGACTTCCCTCTATTGTTCAACAATTACAATTAAATTTTCACCATCATTTTCCCCGTCCATCCTATTAACAAAAGCCACCAATCAAAACTTCCTCCAATTAATAATACGAAAACCTAACCATTTAATTTCCACTCTTTCACGATCCAATTTGATCTCTCTTTTGTCCCGCATATTTTCCCACATATTCAGGTAATAACGCGGCTCTTTATAACGTTGCGCTCAATAGACCGGAATAAATAAATAGTGAGTGATAATGGGGAAAGTTGGAATATCGAGAGGGAGACTATAGGAATATTTATCGTTCCTTCCGGGCTCACGAGTATTTTTTTTCATCTCCATTCTTCCTCTACTTCTGTCTCTATTTTTTTTCTGTAACAAGAGGGTGATATCGTTGGGTCTCATAGTACCGTCCAATTCTTCATCGAAGCCACAATGCACCACTGATGACGTAGTGTAATATCCCGCAGCTCTATCCAATTGAATGGACGAGTGTCTGTTTACACACCATTGGGAGGAAAGGGGCGGGACACGCGACCGTGAAAATACGTTATTTCGCACGCGCTCAGGGTGTTCTCTCGATTCCGTTCAACATTCCTTTATTTGTACAATTTAACATGTATTGTCGATGATGTTTACGCCTGACAAACTCGAGGCTCCGTCGCGCCCTGCTCTTGAGCCCCTGAATAATTCATGAATTTTTTCCCCCTAAATGTCTGACAATTCAAATGCACACGACTGGTGGATAAAGCTAACGAATTCGTGTGATTTTTTTTATGGCTGTGGCCCTTCGTGTTGGGTAATTCCCACTCGCCGATTAATCCACACAACCGCAGAATTGGCTGGGAGTTGAAAAAAAAATGGATGGTATTACCCGTGGGGAATCATCCCAGTGTTATCCCACGATCTCTTATAACTTTTGTTGGGTAACTACTGGACACGAGTTCACGTCATTCTCCCGCGGGACATCGTACTCATGTGTATCATGATTTATTTTCACCTGAGTGCGAGAGAGTGCTCTGGGTAAATGCGATATGATAACTGTGGTGAGGATTATTTAGTGACTTATGCATAGGTAACGGTTTTGGGGAGAAGTGTAGGGTTTATCACTGGTTTATGGTAATGTCGGACATCAAAACAGAGGAAACGGGGCGGAATTTATGGGATTGAGAGGATGGTCGAGAGAATGAAGGGATAGTTAATAGTTGTTGACATTTTTGCATTCTGTTGGTGTACTCTTTCGGGTATTTATTCTTTTATTTTTCTCCTTTTTGATTTTCCAGCAGCAATTTTATTTTTGCTTCTTTGGTCTGATAGGGGTAGCTTGAGGTCTTATAGGAGTCTTATGGGGATCTTATGGGGGTCTTACACGGAGAGAAATTTTTTAGAAAAATTCTAGTGCTAGCACGGGAAAAGAGGCGCAAAGTGACGACCAGGAAAAAAATCCAGTGCCGGCACTAGAAATTTTATTGGGGAAAATGTGAATTTTTCCCAGTATTTCTGTGAAAATTTCACAGAAATCTCCAGAAATTTTACCAGAAATACCAAGAAATTTTACCTTAACAGCGCTAGAATTTTTCACAGCCGGTGGATTGTAATTTTTTCCAGTAGGGGAGGATGGGGCAAAACGGCCCCCCTTAAATCGTCAATATTTTCCGATTCAATAATCCGATTGGGATGAGTTAGAGCTCGTTGTGAAGAATGAAAATTTATCTTCAAAATGAAGTTGAAACTGGGAATTTTCACAATGTCATTCACAAGTTATTGACAATTGAAGGGGGGCCGTTTTGCCCCACCCTCCCCTACTCGTACTAGAGTTTTTCTAGAAAATTTCTCTCCGTGTATGTCCATTCGGAAGCATGTTGCTAATTTATTAGCAAAAACAGGTACAGTAATTGATAAAAATTGAAAGCAATATCCCACTTGTTTTATTTTCTAGCAGCTATTGTGAGGGTAAGGTATGTTGGAGTAGAGTGCAAAGCGTATGGAGAGTATGAAAAACCTTTCATTATTCCTTACATTTTTGCATCCGAATGGAAACACTGCATTTATCAAATCCGAAATTTCCTATTTTTTTTGTCAGGATAACCAAATTTGCGCTCAGGAGTTCGAATATACTATTTCTACACCATGTTCGGAGATAGGTACCGTGAGTGTCCCAGTCACGGAACAGGTCTCCTTCGCTGAACGCAGAGCGCTCTGGCGATGAAATTTCATATTTCTCAAATTCCCTGGTCATCAGCGCCCATTATTTTTTTTGTCACCGGATAGTAAAGTGTTTCCTCAATAAATAGTGCTCTTTTCCCATATTTTACGAGTCTTATTCAAGTTTTAATAATCAATTGATGTATCAGCATTCATGGTGTATCCCCTAATGGAAGATTCCATTGTGAATGAGTGGTAAAATTCCTCGACACTGCGTAAGGGTTATACACGAAAATGTAAGTAAACAATTGATTATTAATTATTTCCACTAACTAAAGGACACTTCTGGATTAATCCGATGTATCAAAAAAATAAAAATATTAATTATTTATGGAGAAAATATCAAATCTCAGGATTGGGTCAATCAAACTCGAGGTTGGCCCAGTTGCGGGACGGGTATTTTCCGATTAGATAAGCTCAATACTCTCTCCTGTCAGCCGCTCCACTACTGTGAAAAGTATTCTCCCATAAATATTTTTACCTCAATTTATTAGAAAAAAATTTAGCAATGGATATTATTACTTTTTATCCAATCCTAGGTCTAAAAATAAACAACCAAAAACACCGAACTATACAAATGAGGACTTGGAGAAAGCTAAGACGTCTTGTTTCTTTATTTTAATTCTGTTTTGTTGTTTGTAATAGTTTATCACTGTTAACATGAAAATAAAAGTCTAGTAAAGAAATCCTGACAATGAATTTCAATCAATTAGTCTCCTGAAAATGGCTCCGTTCAAGAATCAGGTCCGTGGCGTTCAGCAACCTGACAGGGGTGATTTCGAGCGTCCCAGAACTGGGTCACGGGAGCTTCGATGAGTTTTCATTAATATTTATTATGATCATTGCAATTTGTAACAAATTCGGCAATTTTTATGTCAGGGATGGATGGGGGAACATTTTTTTACATTTAGAATCGAGATTTGACCAGAAGAAGAATAGTTATTGGCGATTGCCTTGGGAATTTTCCTTAAACGTCCCATAACTGGGATACTCACGGTATGTGTGTGTGATCAAGAGTTTCTCGACAGTAATTGGAAAAATAGCTGCTCAAATGAATCAAATTGTGATTTGGAATCGAGGGGCTGGAAGTCCCTTAGGAAATCACTGGACCACTCGACTGGATATCAAGGAAGAAATCACCAGAAATCAATGGAAATCGCTGGAAATCAAGTGATTTCCATTTTCGAGAGTTATTTGGAAATATTTCCGGAAATCATTGGAAATCAATAGAAATCCTAAAGAAATGAGGTAGTTTCCGAAGTCATTAGAAATCATCCATAAGTGTAAAATCGAAATTGATTTTGCAGTTTCAACTACACAATTTTTGTTATGGTATCGGTGCGTTCGAAATCATCCAATCTCGAAATATGACGCTATGAAGTTTTTAACATCCTTACGTATTGTAACGTCATGTAGAAAGCTGTCATTATCGACGGATGCGCCACTCTGGTCACGAAATCATACTTTCTCCAGTCATAAAAAAAGTCATGGTATTTAATGATTTCTTGCAATCAAGAAATCATTGGAATCTGCTAGAAATCATGGAAATCATAAGAAATCAAAAGCAATCATGATTTGTAATCCTGATTGGGAAATCACAGAAATCGACAGGAAATCACAGGAAATCATCTGATTCTGGAAATCACTGAGTCCCTCGGTTAAAAAGTGACCAGCCCCTCAAAAGAAATCTTTTTTTTTTAAGTACTTGTGATTTTGGATAAATATCCTTAAGCCTATTTCGACGGTGATAGGATAAATGCCAATTAATAAATGGGGGTTAAATTTTTATCCCGTGTTCGGAAGTTGAACGCGAAATGCCTGGATACCCTACTAGCTTGAGTTCAGTGCTGCCATCTAGCGGATGACTTCAAATAAGTCGGTAAGGACAATCTCCCGGAAGTTCATCTGGTTATCTGGGTCTATACCATCGGAAAGGAGTGTCCTCTCTGACGGTATCATAGAAGTCATATCTTTCTAATGTTGATAGGGTTGTACTGGCGTCTACGGAATTCTTTGGAAACTGGCGCCATCGCGGCCACAAGCTCACTGAATGTGAGGCCTGGGTTGGAATTCTTCGCGTTTAGGGTACCCAAAAAATCTTAAATTTCAACCAATCAAAGCCATGCTACTAGTAACTGAATCTGAGCAGGTGAGAATATCTTGCCTGAACAATTACATCTTTGGGAACAAGGATGACCATCAATCTTATGATTCTTCAATATTGAAAGAATTTCCGACTTACATTGATCAAGGTTTAAATATACTAATCGAAATTTAAAAATAGTAAAATAATTGATAATCTAAATTTCCAATTCATGATAAGTTAAATGTTCAAAAATATGGAACTGTAAATTTTCTATTAAGTAGATAATACTAATTTTCGCATGTAAGAGATTTCCGATTATCCAAATAATCGTTAATCTTCCTAAATCAATTACTGATTAATGAGTATTTCAAAATTTGACTATTTGAATATTGATGACTACCTCAGTAATTAAAATTTTTTAAAGTGTTATTAACTAATTAACAACCTAATACTTTAATAGTAATAATCATTAATGGATATGCATATCCGACCCAATCGTGTGATTTTTATCTAATACATATGAGTTATGTCAACCCCTAGATGGAAAGGATAAAATATATTAAATGACGGTTAATATTCATTTTTGACTGTAGATAATGAATCTTCATTGAATTGTAATTCCTCGATTAAGTAAATTCCTCATCTATTTCACTCATCTTTTATTCAGGGAGAAACTCTCGCCTAAAGTGCTTCTTGTCCCCATTACGGGAGAATTCTAACTATAGGTGTCAAGAAATGTCTCGATTTGTTTACATTCAACGATAACATTTAGATTTTAATCTTTATTTATATGTTCTTTAACAGATCCCAGTAGTGACTAACAGTTAACCTGATCGGTCTTCTCGAACAGGTTGACGATTATGCCGTATTTTCTGAAAGCGTCTTTCGCTTTTTCGACGACGGTTTCTGAAGGATTTTGCTCTCTTGTCAAGATCCAGGCAAATTGGGTGCTGTAATAGAAATTTTCAATTTCAATTTCACTGCAGATCATACCTAAGGGATCAATAATAATAACTGTTATGTAGATAGATCTCATTTTGCTCAATACATAGATGTCTCTCTTGCAATATCATTGCACGCAATGATTATTAATCATGAATTATAATGAATTATTTCGATTATTTCCGTGATAATCAGTCGTTTCCCTAGGTATTTTTGTTTTCGTTTTCATGATATTTTTTTTTTGGAGTTCTTATAACTCCTCTGTTTACTCTATTCAGATTATTCTGGTATACGGGGTATCCCATAGTATGTGACAAAAGTAAATTGCGTAATTTACCGCAAGGTGGCGGCGCAGTCTAAAATCTAACATATATTTTAACTGGAGACTCTTCTTCTTCTTCTATTCATTATGGTTATATCCTCACTCAAAGATGGAGAGGCAAGCACCATAACTGGATACTCTTCGTAAATTTCATTCACACTTCAATCCCTCACGAATAGACCTTTTACAGTTCTGACTTAAATCCCGGTGATTTTTACCTGTAGTGTTTTCTCAAGGTCAAATGCTACGAAAAGCACCTAATGACGATGGAAGACTTGCAAGACGCAATTAGGGACGCTGTCCGAGCTCTTGATGAAAACACAATACAGCGCATCTATACCAGCTTCAAACGAAGGATAGAATTCTGCAGTATAAGTGATAGCAGACATTTGGAAGGGATTGTATTATAATTTGACGAATGTTCTTTGTACAATAAAAAAATAATAATTATTTCCGTTTAACCGTATTCAAGTTATTCGCAATTTACTTTTGTCACATGCTGTGGGACACCCTGTAATAAATGACTTACTTTGCAAAAAGTAAACTTTGACAACTCCACACAGCTGAGTAGGATTCATAATCAGTATCCAAAATCCAATAAGAACCGTCGACTGGAGATGATGAAAAACGGACTGCTAATTTTCCTGGATCTTTAGCGTCCACTACCCTAGCCAAACCCTCGATCTCACTTGGATTTTCTGTGCTGAATAGACGCATACAATGAAGTAGTAATTTTTATGCAGGAAAGGATTGCGGGAAAATGAAGACAATTTGGAATAATGATACTTACAATGAGTTTACTTGCGCATTAACAACTTTGACTGTTCCATCGTCGTTTAGAGTGTAGTTGGCGGTAACGCATTTACCACCAAGTTCGAAAATCGTGAAGTATCGATTTTGTTCGTACCATTTCCCGGCATACTGAAAGTAGACATGTTGTGATTAAAATAGAATTTCGTTGAGAATATCCAGCACAGAACTGCAAATTTAAAATTTAGCTGACTTTCAATATTGTAATAATGTGAACGCTCCGTGCGTTCGAAACGTTGTGCACCTTTTCAAGTATCTACATCGAGGAGTTTTTTATGTGGATACGTCTGTTTTCATTATGGGGGGGCATTTAGGGAAAAAGTCCTTATGGTTCCTTATCCGCAGTGGCGCCATCTATCGGAATTCTAGAAAATTCTAGATTTTTCTAGAAAAGTTCAGATTTTTCTAGAAAATCCGAGAAAATTCTTCAATTTTGTTTAGATATAAATTCCAATCTTGAGGGATCCTTGAGTTAGTTATTATTGCACGAAATAGATCAAATTTATGAATGATCCGTGTTAAAATGTGCAAGGGTGTTTATATGTGAAGATTTCGTTGTGAATAAAATATGTTGAACGTTTGTTTAGGAATTTTGGGTGTATGTAACAATTTAATCGTATCGTGATTATAAAAAACGTCTTATCATGACGAGGCAGTGTGAAATCCCTACTTCTTCTCATATACCTATATAAATATGTACTACGAAAAATTATGGTGTTCAGTGAAGGACCGGGAAGACCATAGACGTATCCACGTAAAATTACGGCTGTATCAATGATACAGCTACCCACAGATTTTTCTTCTTTTTTTCATTCATCAATTCCTACAACCGACCGAAAAATGCCCGAGAGCTACAATAAACATCGATATCCAAGTATCTCTTACCGTTTGGTACAGATCACACTATAAATTCAACCATTTTCAATCATCAAATTTGTAAATTAAGTTTGGTGAGAAAACTTTCAAGAAAATCATTAATATTCAGCGTCAATCAAATTACATTTTACATAGAGTTTTTATTTTTTCAAACATGAAATTGATTTCTGGTAAAATTCTGAATATGAATAAATTTGTTACGATTCTAAACAAATGATTGTTATGGTGGATAACTGATTGTTTATTCTCCAGAAGAACATTTCACTGGAGAAAAAATAGCCAAAGTACTCGGATATCCATAAGTAGTACGATATTGAATGAAAAAAATATGTTTTTCTCTTTCCGCGATCTATTCTTGAAATTTCAATTTCTAAACTTCCTATTTGTGTAGCGTATTTAACCAATCCTGCATTAGTATTCGGAGGAAAAACATTGTTAGTAATGAATAATTACCGAGCTTATCTTTGAATTATTGGCAAAAAATAATAAAAATTTCAATAACTGCTTTCTTCGAACATTTATTTCTCATGTTTGCACATTATGTCCCCTGATTACAGGTGTTAAATCATTCATAGGAAAGAAATTTAAGTTGAGATAAGATTGTTTCGAGAATTGTTGATGTTTGTTGATTAGCATTACTGCGTGCTTAAATCGTTATCCATGAAAGCAGTTCGATTTCATCAGAGCAGATAACAAACTCATGCATTTGTCGTTTCGAAAGTGAAGAGGGACATGATTTCTTCTCTGGTTTTTCGCCCATAAACGTTCAAGGTATTTTCTTATGTGAAGCAGAGCAGCTATATAAACGATCACTATTCAGATGATCAATTAACAATTACGAAGGATCTGTTGAGAGGTTCTTTGAAATGAAGAAATAAGATATTCATGCGAACATGACATTCAATTTTGAATTTCTATTCACACTCTAAAGTGTATTGTCGAAGGAATTGAAGTATAAATATGATTGAAATCTTATTCACTGAGAATAGGAATTAGGACATGAGTAAATCATTTATTATAATATGAAAATTTAACAGCTGATAAATTGGGACATATGATTATCATCGATAGTATTGCTTTTTGTAATGAGAATGATTATAACTGATTAATTGAGAAATGGAGTATCAAATCTAGCAGAGAAAAGGGTATAATGGAAGGGCACCAACACCCCGACCGCTTGCTTGTTGTTACATCTAGAGATATTTCTCGTAAACGCAATTAGTTACGTTGACGACCTGAGTTGACTTGGACCGTCTCACCTCTTCGCTGTACTAATTTATGAGAACTATATTCCATACTTAAACTACATCAGTAACAAGTTTCAGTAATGTAGGACATCCGCAATTTGTTCAGATTTTTATTGTGTGGTCCAGTGGCTACATTTTGTTTTCAGCAATCAGCTCATGTGATAATTAATCCAGAACTATTGTTGACGACGCATTCATCCATCCATTTTTTTGTTCCATTTCACGTTGGTGTTTGGATAACAAAATTTAGATTAAAGCGGTTCACAGACTGCACTTACCGCATTTTTTAATAGTGTAAAACGAAGTTTATAAAGAATTTCAAAAGGTACATTAAAGAAGAAGAAGAAGAAGTACATATGTTAGTACAAATAGGAATAGCAAATGATTGAAATTACATCGAGTTGTAATTCTATAAATATTATCAAATAAATGCATTACTCCACGCAAGCTAACTAACGCGCGCGAAGCGCGCGTCTTTCCTAGTGTAGTGAAAAGTGTCATAATAAATCAGATTCACTGACCTTTTCCACATCAAAAGTCGAAATTGTTTCCACATTGGGACAAGAACCGATACCTGGGACTTGAGCACCAACAATACCAAGGAGACACAGAGCCAATGTAACCCTGAACATTTTGCGGCGTTATTCAATATCTACTGTATATTGAGTAGATGATATCAGCAATTAACAACGAAAAAAGTCAACGATGATTCACCACGTACGTTCGTCACCGGTGCGTGGAAAGAACTGATGGTATTATGTTGCAGGAGGCTCCCTTTTATCATGACTTCCTCATAATCGCACTAGCTAGTGACACAATGTTAAAAGTGACGCTGCATCGTTATCGTTAAAAAAACACATGTCTTCCTCTATGAATAGGTTTTTTTGCGCTCTCTTAATTGTCCATCAACAGTCTGTTGAAATTTGAATAATCACAAGTATCGATGATAATATAAGTTGGATCGTATCATTGTTAGTATTGGCTGGACAACAGTTCCTTTTTCGTATTAACTACATTGTGCTACAATATTGATTGCCTGGAAGAACACTCATGGACTCATGTACACTTTATTAAAAATTTTGTCTGAATTTTCCGTGCCAAATTCGGGAAATTTTTATCGTGTTCCAATTCCACCGAAATGTCAGGAAATCTTGTCATTGAAAATTCACAATCTCGTGGAAAAATAAAACAGAACTGTAAATTTCCGTTCTATTTTTCCTTGAAAATGAATAGAGAACCTGAAAATTCTGGTAAATATATTCTTGAATTTTCAGGAGATCGTGAAATTTCAGACAACTTTTCTTCTGAATTTTCAATCTGTTGAAAATTCAATTGAATGTATTGCTTAATTTTCACGATAGGTTTGAAAATCCAAATTGTCCTTGAAAATTGAATTTGAATTGATCATTCATCATGAGAAACGTAATTTTATTGAATTTTCAAGATAAATCAAGAAGTCCATGAGCAACTTAGTTTGAAATTGAATTTAAGTTCAGAATATTGAGAATTCAACTGCATCTGTTACTTAAATTTCAAAAAATTTCTAACAGTATATTTTTAGGACAGTGACACTGAATGCGATTTAAGGGGGAAAATCATGGAATTTCAGATTTCACTGAAAATTCAATGCAATTTGACACTGAATATTTATATTAGATAGGGAATTCAAATAAATTAAGGATTTTCCATCCTTATGTCCCTTAAATTTCTGGAATTTTCCTGAATTTTCAGTGAAACCTAAAATATCATGATTTTTTCCCTTAAATCGCATTCAGTCTCACTGTCCTGAAAATTGGTACTCAACTGTCCCTGAAATTTCATTTTTTTCTAACAGTATATTCAAAAATACATTTTCCTTCGCGAAAGAATGCGAATGGATTCCATATTTGGCAAGGAAAGGAAAAAAATGAGAACGTAAAAATCTGGAAATAGGAAAAGCATTGTATTGTACTTGTAGAATTTTCTTCACCATTGGCTTGTTACATCACAATTGTGCCGAAATCCTCGTTTATGCGATGATTCATTTCATGGATAAGATTTATGCTGATTATTCCATATTGCGGTAGGATGATGTGGTTTTCAATGACAGTTTGTCGATATGGTTTGAGAGTAACAATAAGAGTAAGATTCATCGGTGATATATGCAGAAAAATTTTGGATGACTCCGAGGCGGAAAATGTTAATAGGAGTTATTCTTGCCAAGTCTCAACAGAAAAGAAGGAACAATCGATCATGAGTGTCACACGTGCACTATTTACTCAATAATGAATAGCAAAACACCTGGGGCAACCGTAACTGACATCGCGCTGTGCGATATCTCTTGAATAGAAAAAAGAAAAAGACTAATAAGGCATAAATTAACCGTGAAATATGATGATAAGAGCAAGATTTTCTACAGAGAGATTATCTGTTGTTTAATGATCCTGCAGAGACGTCATCGAATAAGTCTTAGCCCTTTCGAAGTTCTGAATTTAAATAATATATACAAGCGATAGGTACCTCATACAGTTAGTATATATTCATCAACTTGGGTATTAACACATGTAATAAACAATAAATTTTTCAATCCTTCACTTCTTTAGCAACATATTCTGAATCTCTTGCAGCGATTTCCCTTTCGTCTCCGGCATCATAGTCATCATAAACAGAGCCAACAGAAACATCATCAACGCATATAGATAATAAGTGTAATAATCAATCCAATCAATTAGCATCTGATACGTTTGTGTAACTAAGAACGCAACGAATCCCGATGTAATATTGGAAATACAAGAGCAATAACTTTTGATATTCGGGGAAAAAATTTCGCTCAGAATAGTGCTGGGAATAGGTATGATCCCCAGGTTGATGCTCATTTCCAAGAGTATGATCGAAGCGATGATCAGCCACTGAAGAGATGCAGGATCAAAACCTACCTCCAATAGCTGATAATGGATAGCTATACCAACTAACCCTGTCCCAAGTCCCACAGCAGCTGCACTCAACACTAATTTTCTTCCGTATTTGTCGATAGTAAACAGTGCAATCCAGCCTCCGACTAATCCAATCGAGCTTATAACGATGACAGCCATTGCCGGCGCAATTACTCGTATCTCTCCTTTCGTCAAGATAATTTCCATGTAAAAGCCAACAGTGTATAATCCACTCAGCTGCATCAGAACATACAAGGTATTCACTTTAATCAGAGCAATTCTATTGTGCGGACGCATGAATTCATTCCACAGATTCTTGTACGTCATCGATCGCTTGTCCTTGATGAACATTTGAAGTGATGTCAATTCATTCGGAACATCAGCATTTCTCTGATACCATCTAATCGCAGCACTAGCCTCTTCCACTTGGTCTGTCAGTACCAGATAGTGTGGGGACTTGGGAAGCCAGTAGAATGTTATAAGAAATAGAACTGTCACAGCTAATGCAAATGCAGCAAACATTGGAATCGACATGTAAGCACCAGTGAGATTGCCCACGACGTAGCCAATTGACATTCCATTTGCGATTACACCAACGAGAGCACCTCGAATAATAGGATTGGAGATTTCTCCTATGTATAATGGAAAGGAGATGAAGAACATGCCTGTTGCTAGCCCCCCGATGAGTCTTGATACTTGGATCCACACGGCAGAGTCAGCTAGTCCGAGAGAGATAAAGCTCACTGTCTGAACGATGCCAATGTGGAGGGCAGATGTCTTGCTACCGACTAACTCCACATCGATTGCTCCAATGATAGCTCCAGCTCCTCGGCCTATGTTGAGAAGCGATGCGATCCATGATCCTTCTGATTCTGTCGTTGACATGGGAGAGGTTGAGCTGAGGAGGATTGCGAGAGCAGGCGATGTCCATCCTCTCTCAAGACCGACCACGAATGACATCAAAAAGACTGCGGAAAAAGTGTTGTTGTAATTAGTAACATGGGCACAGGAAGGTTAAATGAGACGACAAATATACGGAGAATAAAATACCGAAAAGGTTACTGTGCTAGCATGGTAAAATGGGTTCATTTCAACGCATACTGAAAAATTTATGTACCAACACCAGAAACATGGCTGAGAATTTTTTTCGTACTCAACAGTGTGACGCGTATCGCTTTATCCGCGTCTTTTTTTTACGGCCTTTTGAGTCCCCTTTTCGGGTTTCCTTTCGGCACTCCATCCAACCGTATGCATGCGACTTTGGATTCCATACTGTACCGTATTTGCACCCCTATAGAACATAGGAGTAGCATGGGAAACCACAGAACATCCATGCCGGTACATGCGGTTACTTTATTAGCAACCTCGCGCTCGCTAGAGCCTTCCGTTGAAAGATTCGGTTCCGCGGGGAATCGAACTCATAACCTTTCGCACACTAGACTTGCGTCTAGCCCACTCGGCCACCGATGTCGGTTTATACACGTCTTGGAATATTATTTTAATGATTTGTACTTAGCTTAGGGAAACGCTGATTCTTGCTGAAAACTGCCAGAGAAACGATCTCACGGTGATCCGAGTGACATTTGACTGTGTAGAGATCATTGTCAATGACAGTGCCAAGACAATGTTAGTGGCAAAAACCGTGAGAATGCTTATCGCAGAATTTTGAGAGCTGAAGCGTCTTTGAGATCCCCTAGTTCGACAGAGTACGATTGGGAGCCGAACTGGACGGTCGAGTCCAATAATTCCCAATCCTTAGCGCCATGTAACCCGAACCCGTTAATCTGTTATCTTATTCGGACTCTCACCCAGAAGCTGAAGCTCGAGAAAGCCGACAGATATTGTCTTACCAGAAGGTCAACATCTTGGTATGACTGTTCAATGAAAAACTCTCGAGCTGAGGTGATTGAACGATGACCAGTGATGCCGCGAGACGGGACGAGATGAGAAACTGTATCTTCTCGTCTCGTCTCATCAGGAAACCATTCTCTCCTCGCGTCTCGTATCGAAATACGAGAGCAATTTTTTCTCTCGTTGCGTTGACAATTGAGAGATTCTCTTACCTCATCGCGTCTTGTTTCGCCTTATCTCGTCTCTATAATCTAATTTACACGAAAAAAAATACACAGAAGGGTAGAAAGGGGGAGCTCTCTCGACTCTCGTCTCGCGTCTCGTTTCTGTCGTTCTCGACCGGCTTTTCTCGTCTCGTCTCGTTTCTGTCATTGTCTCGAATGACTCTTCTCGTCTCGTCTCGTTTCTTTCGCGTCTCGCATCACTAAACGATGATAAAGTACAGAACTATCGACTCATGTTTCCACAACTCTACACTGCAAAGCACTCGATCTACAAATAGGATTATGGCATTGGATTTCTTTTCCTGTTAGCTAGATCCACTAGTGTCGGAGTATGTGCCATATGGCAATGAATTTAAGGAATCATTTTGTATTACTTTCGAATGCAGCAATCCATTGGGGCCACGAACCCTCTATCAGCAATGTGTTCTTGATCATGAACATGACCGTGATGGGTAGGCACTACTGATCGGTCCATGGCAGCAAGCGCCGAAATGCTCATTAGAATTAATGAAAAGTGCCATTGTTGATTCTTGATTAGATAAGGCTTCCACGCGTGAGCGCAGGGGAATATTGCTGAATCACAAGACTGAATATGAAGTGAGTTATGTATTCATTCTGTTTGCAGATGATTTCTAGAGTCAAGTGGGAATATTTGAAAAATATTATTCGATAATGGGATTGCAGAATTTATGATAGAAAAATTATATTTGAATCATTCTAATTGTTCGCGTAATTTCGCGAGGTTTAATAGTGTAATTTTTATAAAATGGCATCATTTTGCCACTACCCTCGTTTGTAAGGTCCCAGTATTTTTAAGGGGATACGTGGGTGAAATTTAAAAGTCTTCACTGGGCCTTGGGACCTATTGAACAGTTTATGATATATGACGGAATATGGGAATAACTAGAGAAAATCGCGGACCCGATCGATTTTGCTCGCTGCAACCACGAAAAACTTAATTTTTTCCTATTTTTACCTTCAAAATGCTCCTTGTGCCGTAGTTTTCATACGATGTTAGTATTTTTTTACATGTTCGTTACACTCCAAAGAATAAAGTTAAGCATCCGTTTTGCTTCATTCGCAAAAGATCATGAATAAATTAATTTTGAATTGCATAAATTTTACTCCACCCTACACTGAGAGAAAAATGACAAAGTTCTCAAACAAGTCTTACTTGTGCCAAGAAAATAGTTTTTTGAAAATGATCAAAAAAGGATTTTTTTGTGCCGAGCATGCAGAGGGTGCGCCGGAATGAAAAGTTCTTGTCGCAAAGATAGATTTAGTAGTTAATCTATAAACTGCTAATAAAATATTTGTTGATAAATTTTCCTCTATGTGAGATATTTTCATCCTGAAAAGGCACCGTCTGGTGTGAATTATCCGCCTCTTGAGCCAAATATTTCGTTGCTGTCGAAAGCAGAGCAACATGTTTGAGACTTTCAAATTCGAACCAAACAAATTCTTTTTTGGCAATTTTCAACTAGCGATTTTGTTGCCCCAAACAAGATTTGTTTGACAACGTATTTGTTTTTCCCTCCGCGTAGAGACGCGAAAAATTTATGAAATTCAAAATTCATTTATTCATGATCTATTACGAATCAAGTAAAACGGATGCTTAACTTTATTCCTTGGACGAAAACTACGGCGCAAGGAGCACTTTGAAGATAAAAACAAGAAAAAATTTTTAAAGACGATCTTCAAACGATTCTTTTTCTCACCACCAGATGTACGCCCATCCACCAGATCTCAATACACTCATTTCCTTTCCACTTTGATCCTCTACTCTCCATTCATTATTTTTCAAAAAATCCCATTCGACGATTCCGTAAACTTAAAATTTTTCGAAAACTTCCAAAATTACCTTGAATTTTCCATAAAATCTGGAAATTTTCTCAATTCTTTTTTTTTAGGAAATTCGAGAGTTCTGTGAAATTGGTGCGAAAACTCAAGTAATTTCTCAAATTTTTAACATTGCTTAAGCTGTTTTTATTTCAACGGATCAGAGGCAGTGTTCGGAGTCACGTGACACTTCGTTATTATTTTATAACCCTTTTTTTCCTCTAAATTCCAATTCTCTTAGAATTCTTTAATGCCTAAAGGAGGTTAGGCGGTGTTTGAGGTGAATTTGAGAGTGAATTTCTGTGGTTCCCGGTAGCTTAGTCGGTAAGAGTGCCCGGCGCGTATCTGGGAGACCCGGGTTCGATTCTCGGCTGAGTGAAGCGGAAATTTTTTCTCTCTAAATTCTAATTCTCTTAGAATTTTTTTTTTTTGGGGCTTTTTCACCGAGCCCATTTTTTCAATGTCATCTGTCAACGTTCCCCCTGAAACATTCCTGAAATATCCCTCATGCGAGATATTTCCAGTTCGACTTTTTCCAATTCCAGTTTTTGCTCCGTGATGTGTTTTTTGATAAAGGATTCTATTTTTCGAGTGTTGATAAATACGATAGATACGCGCTGTTACTTTATTCTGCTATCTGCTAATTTTTCTCCCGGTATTAGTGGAACCTTCATTGTGCCCCCCCCCCACATTTGTTGTAAATAAATTATTCATAACACGTATATCGAACTGAAAAATGAAAATTGCTGATTTTATTATTTCACTTGAACTTCTTCAACATATTCATTTCTGATTTGGACATTTGTCATGATCAATAATTGAAAGGTCTTGCATAGTTAAATTGAGTTTCCCAAGAGCATTTGCAATTTCGTCCTGATGCTTTTGCTGCAATTTTGGACTTTTTGTCCAAATCCATACGAACTCCACGCTAGAAATTGAAAAAAGAATTTACTTCTTGATTAAATTAGATTCATGAAACTAAAAAAGTGTTTCATCTTACGCCTGGCCTTTCTCCTGTTTGCAGGAATGCATTATTGCCCAAAAACCCCAGTTTGCATCCACAAACGTGGATTTGATTACTTTGTCTCGTGAATATTCGGGAAATGTCAGGTTGTAGCGGGCAATTGGTTGTTCATCTTTCGGAATCATTTTGCCTTCCCAGAAAATCCAAGTGCCTGATCTATGGAAAAATTTAAATTATGCTCTCCATCTAGGAGTTGAAGTCCAATTGTAAGTGTAAGAATATGATTAATAAAATAGAGGTGATCAACAAAAGTTCCTCAAAATAATGTGCTGCAAGTGAGATGGCAGACGAAATAAAATAAGAACAGTAAAAATTTAAGCGGAGATGCAACTAAAACTCCGGCGGTAAAAATTACTATATATGTTGACCCAGGAATTTTTAAAAATTTTACATGTATTCCAGGCATAATTTGCATTTTTTCTGCTATCAATAGTTTCTGCAAAACTTCTGAAATGAACTGATCTTCTTTCTTTGAAAATTTTCCTCACCTCACTGAGAAAAAAACGACAAAGCTCTCAAACAAGTCTTACTTGTGCCAAGAAAATATTTTTTTGAAAATTATCAAAAACGGATTTCTTTGTGCCAAACGTACAGAGAGTGCGCCGGAATGGAAAATTTTTGTCGTAAAAATAGATTTAGTAGTTCAAAAAAAAATGCGTTCTTTTCACACGCAAGAAATGTTATTTCTAGCACTACTCCTTCGTTATTCGATACTCCCATATGTCTTTTGCTCCGGAAAAATCTTTGGATTATGCGAAACAAGGGATAGTAGTTTTTCGTTGCGGCTGTTTAATAATCACAGACAAGAAATGAACCCTTAAATGCAATAATAATAATGATATGATAGCAATCTTGTAACTTCAGGATAAAATATTTGTTGATAAATTTTCGTCTATATGAGATATTTTCATCCTGAAAAGGCACCGTCTGCTATGAATTATCCGCCTCTTAAATAGCGCGGGGATGATACAGAATATGAATATACTAGTCGAAATAATATCTTTCACTGAAATGAAAGACTTGTTTCCACAATTTTTTATTTGCTTTTTATTCGGATATAAATATAAATCTAATATGTAACTGAGTAAATTGATGAATTTTCCTCTGAGGCTGGCGTATTACCCATCTACCCGAATTTAATCCACATGAATATTTGAAGAGAAAAAAACTTACCGACGAATGATGGAACTGACATGTTCAACGAGATATCCATCTTTACCCCTGTAGTATGTGATTACTCCGCAAGCATTATCAGGTTCATAATAATTAGAGATACGAGCCCACTCGTACCACTCACCGATCAGCTGAAGGAATAATTCGCTCATCATTACGACGTACATATTTCCCAAAAATCACCAAACTTTACCTTATTCTCATCGAAATTGGGCATGGCATCTGGCTCAGGACATAAACCTGGATTGGCCCTTTGTGCAAAGCACTGGGCTAAGTACCCAAGTAAAAAGACATAAACCAGCATTTCGATTGTATGTGAAGAGGTGGCGGTGAGATTTTCTGAATAATTAAATATTGCACGTATTTATATGGAAAGAAAAACGTTATAGTACACTCTTTGAAAGACTTCTAAAAAAAATTTTCTCTATCATCGCTCGCTGCATAACTTATATACGTTTGCAACCAATCATTTGCATTTCAAAAATAGAAAAATTGAAATTACTAATTCCGGAAATTTGAATTGATATAATTCAAATTTGAAAAATTGAACATTGAAAATTTAAAAGTTAAATTTTTCACATTTTGTTTATTCCATTAAAGTCGATACCAGTTGAGTTCCTGAATAGTGATGCCGCAAGGGAAGACAAGGCGAGAGTGCACTGAGGGAAAAACGAAGAAGTTGTCGAATGTCTTGTTTGAGCCAACAAAATCGTTAGTTGAAAATTACCAAAAAAATAATTGTTTGGTTCGAATTTGATAATTGCTCTACTTTCAACAACAACGAAATATTTGGCGCAGGAGGTGGATCATTCATACAAGACGGTGCCTTTTCAGGATAAAAATATCTTTTATAGAGGGAAGTTCATCAAGAAAGGTTTGGTCCCTAAGTTACAAGATTGTTGTCACGTAATTATTATTATTTCATTTACGAATTTATTTTTTGTCTGTGCTTATTGAATAGCCGAAACGACAAACTACTATCCCTCGTTCATAATTGAAAATCTCAAAATTAAATAAATCCTGAATTAAATTTGCCGCCCAAGACGACTGTGAATCAATGAGGAATAAGCGTGACAGACTTGTGAGATATCAATAGTTATCGACTTTAAGTGTATTTAAGTATATGCACGCACGAAAAAATTTATAATAGAAAAACCTATCGAATTCGTTGGAAAATTCTATTGAATTTCTATTAAACTTTCTATTAGTTTTTGGCCGATTCTATTGAAATGTTCAATAGAAAATATTCAGTAGAAAAAGTCAATAGAATTCAATTTTTCTATATAACTTATTCTTTTCATATATTTTCTATAAAATTCGCTCGACTGAAATTTTCTAATTTTTTTTCATTCTATTTTTTTTCTTCTCATCACGAAAATCAAATGAAAAAACTTGGAAAATTTGAGCCGAGGAAATTCTATAGAAAATATCTCAATAGAATAAGTTATATAGAAAAATTGAATTCTATTGACTTTTTCTACTGAATATTTTCTATTGAACATTTCAATAGAATCGGCCAAAAACTAATAGAACAGTTCAACAGAAATTCAATAGAATTTTCCAACGAATTCGATAGGTTTTTCCATTAAATTTTTTCGTCCGCGTGTTCTTTTTAGAGTAGGAAAACGTGCATTTTCCGGGAGCAAAATACGTATGAGAGCATGGAATAACGAAGAAGTAGTGCTAGAATAGTATATTTCAGCACGTGTGGGGCAATATCGTCTTTAACGTGTGTGGGGTTTACAGCATGAGTCGAAGGCGAGTGATGTAACCACACACGTTAAGGACGAAATTTCCCAACAAGTACTGAACAAAATTTTCTTACACTGATGGCGGTGGTTATGTGGTTAGAGTGTGGGATTGGCATGCGGAAGACCCGGGTTCGATTCCCGGGTGGGGGGCCAAAATAGGTGACACTCTAAATCTCACAGTTTCATTGTCGAGCGGGAGTCTCGCAAGAGATGACTGTACCTGGGCAGGTTTTTCCCTCAAATGAGGTTTTCCCTTGCCCTTCGGCGAATGCAGTACAGGGGGTTGGGGGTGGGAAGGGAACAAATCGTAAAATCCCGAAAGGGTAAATGAGAGAAAAAAAAAATGAATTTACATTTCTTGCTTGCACAGAGAATTTTTTTTTTTAAAAACTAAATCTATTTTCGTAATGAAAATTTTCAATCTCGGCACACACTTTGCATGTTTAGCACAAACAAATCCTTTTTTGATTACGAGATCGGCCGCGCGTGCTGCACATGCGCCTTCTCATCTCCTCTCGTAGTGGCACTTCAGTGGGGCTATATACACCGGGAGCTGAAGTACAGCCAACATTATGTCTACTACTGCCCAAGTCCCGGTGGAAACGTTTTTGATTTGTTCATGAGTTCCCGTCACTTTCCGCACTCCCTGACGGTAGAAACGCGTAAAATAGAGGAAGTATCACGGAGAGAAATTTTTGATAAAAATTACCCTACCGTTCTATAAAAGTGTATCATGAGTCATAGTTTCCTCACTTTCATCCCGAAATTTAGTAAAAATCAATATGTGATGATCAAATTTTATTCTATGCAAGAGAAATTTTATCCTGACCCATAATAAATTTTACCCTTCCAGTCCAGTAATTTTTATGTAGATAAGAATGAAAATTCTAGAACGGTTGGTAAATTTTACTCTACCGGTACAGCAATTTTTACTCTACCGGCACGGTAATTTTTATTTTTATCAGGATAAAATTTCTCTAATGTAGAATAAAATTTGATCATCACATATTAATTTTTACTGAATTTCGGGACAGAACTGAAAAAACGATGACTCATGATACACTTGTATAGAACGGTAGGGTAATTTTTATCAAAAATTTCTCCGTGTAGATACCGTTTCTATCGATATACGGGTGAGATCGACAAAACCGGCGCGCGGTGTACGCTACTTTCAAACAAGTGCATAAAGACTATATGTAAATTAAAGTATTTTTAACCTTACCCATAATGCATGATAAAAAAATAATAATCATAGTAACAATACATTTTTTTTTATTCAGCATTTTGATTTTCAGCCATATTCATGGTTTTCTAAAAACCTGTTTCTTTGTTCAGTTTTAATTACGAGCTACTATGACCAACGAAAGAAATTTCGAACCCACAGATTTCGTCTCAAATTTTCTCAACTTTCAGAAAAAAAAATAGTTTTTATGAATCTATACATTTTGGCATGAAAAACTCGAAAATAATGTTTCAAACTGCCATTTGAGGCCATTCCCCAAACTTTTTTTCTTTTTCTCTTATTTTCATCGTAAAGTTGAGAAAATTTTCCAACCAAAACATATTTTTAATTTTGGCGCTTTCATTAATTCACGGGTGAAATACAGGAAAAAACAAAATTTGGTCCATCAAAAAATTAGATTTTCTAAAATATTTCAGGATTGAAGCAAAATAGAGATTTTGTGATAAAAACCTTTTTTATAGGGCAAAATAAGGTCTACAAAAAAGGTTATTATAAAAAGTCGCTATCTCCTTTCGATTCCGAGGTATTTAGAAAACTAATTTTTTTTAACCACCAAATTTTGTTTGTTCCTGCATTTGAGTTGGATTGTCTACGAGTCTACTTTATAGGTTAATGAAATAACCTTTTCATTTAATAAATCCTTTATTAATTACTTTTCGTATACATAAGTATGAATTTTAATAAAAAGAACCCCTAAGAAATACATATGTTAACCATTATTTTAGTTTCACGCAATATACCAGGGAAGAAAACACACGCACCAACTAAAAAAAAACTTATTTAAGAAATATATTCTCCTGAACTGGTTCAGACGAACTTTCACAAAGTTGAAAGAAATAACTTAAAAAGTAAAAATACCATTCATGACGCATCTATTCAAGTCTTGCTTACTTAAATACTGATTCTATATTTTATATATTTTTTGAATAAAAAATATGAAGTAATAAATTTTAGTTTTACGACTTTCTTCTTGTCTCGTTCAACAGGTGTTTTTTCAGCTGGTATTCAGCCTCGAGAATTTTCAGTTGGAGTTGGTGTTTATGGAGTTGCACGATGAGGATATTCATTTCCACTCTTTCTCTCTTCATGCTAGATTTTTCAGCGGCTTTGTCTCGTTGGTCTTGTGAAGGGGCTGGATTTAGGTACGGGATTGCGTAGAGGAGTGGGAGTTTCACTTGTGGTTCTCGGGGGTAGATCTGACGATTTAATCTCAGGGCTAGCTTTGATGGATGCAGCAGGACTTACGTTTTGTAGAGCGTTCAGGCCCTTCAATGGTACTGAGGTATCTGAGGGATCAAATTTTTCTTCTCATAGAATGATGATATTTCTCTGCACTCAGTTTCTGTAGGCATTTTTATCCATTTTTCTAATAAGAGGTCATTAATGGCGTCAACTACTCGATGAACGTACTTCCAAACTGTCGTTTTATGAACACCAAAAACGTTCACTACGTCTCTGTATTCACATGTACTGGCTAAATAATATAGAGCAATTGCAACTTGTTTCTCGGGGGACACAGGTTGTCGAGGTTGCAGGGGATTGAATTTGGGTTCCAGGGCCGGACGCAAATCATTCACCAGTTCAGTAAATACTCTACGCTCTATACGGAAGCTGTCTATCCAATCATCTTCGTCATACTCTTGCAGCACCGTCACTTCCCAGAAATCGACAGAACGGCGTTTCATCCATAACGATCGAACACTTGGTTCTCGCTGTTCAAGTACTGCTTGACGAAGGACATTCAAGCGTATTAGTCCATTCCGTAATCGGTGAGTGAACTGTGAGTTCCGTAATTTTTACTGAACATTTCTCTCCGTGTACAGTAAGATTGGACTGAAACTTAAATATGGGAAAATTTCATGAGGCCTTATTAAATTAATGCACAATATATTTTATTTCATAAATGACAAAAATTACATGTCACTAAATTGATAATATTTTCCGAAATGAAAGCATTCGGGCTGCACTTGGAACAAGCCATCCAAATCGAACTCGCCATTGTCAGTCATCTACTTTCAAATCAGCGTTGCAATTTTCCCGCGTAGTAATTATGAACACTTCAATTAGTTTTGGAAATTATCATCGATCAGAATTGGGGGCACTGTTGTTGATCAACGTCAACGATTTCGGGCTTCGGTATGTCAACATATCGTTCAACGAAACGTTCAGCCTGGTTGCCAAACAGAGGATGACGCACAGGAGTCCTGGACAAAATCCATACGTACTGCAAACTAGAATTAATTGAAACACAAAGTAGAAATCATTATAAATGTTACGTTTATCTGTAGCGGGAAATTGAACCAAACCAGGTGGGAAATCGCTTTCGTCACTACATAGTCATATTTTTGCTAATAAATTAGTAATTTGCTTGCCAATGAAAGTTCGATGACGACATAAAATTTAAAAATTATTTTCTCTCGTATACCTTTTCGAATTTTTACGATTTATTCCCTTCCCACCCCCCAACCCCTTGTTCATGTTTGAAATTCAGACAAATTTTCATTTTATTCGGACGTTTTTTAGTGTCTGAAAATTGTCTACAAAAGGCGAGGGGCTATTCACAGGCGAATTGGGTGACACCGCGATTACAAAATGTAATCGATTACCCAGGATTATGAGACTGATTACATTGATTACCATTGCCTATGTGATAACCGTGATTATCAAGAGCACAGAATGTGATTACATGATTACAAATGATTTCGTCGATTATATTCTGTGATTACTAAACATCTTGAATAATTGAAATCACAAAAAGTGGCCTCTTATTAAATATGAATTGATGGAATAATTAATTATTAGAACCTGCAAAGAAATGAGGAAGGAGGGGCGAGGATTAGAATAGAGGAATGCAGTCTCCATCACTCCATCTAAAAATTTGGGCATTTATAAGTGCTATCAGCAAAATAAATTTACTGAATATCTACCATTGATGGAGCATGAAACTTACCAGCAGATAATTCAGAGATAATTTAGTCGTTGGTTTTCCAGAATAAGAAGAAATTTTAACTCTGTTGAATCAATTTTCTACGGACAAATGCTCTGTGCAAAACGCATTGGCTGGGCAAGGCTTTGAACCATAAACATCTGGGATTCCAAGAAAAATTGATCCAGGAATCTCTGAGACTTACCGTTGGTAGAAATGACGCGCTCGAAAATTCAAAAACAAAATTCACGGTCTCACTAGGAGCAACTACGAAAGATTACACTGATTACAAATGGTTACAGTGATTACAAATGATTACCACTTGATTACAAATATGGTAATCATGTGATTACAATGATTACATTGATTTCACCGTGATTACAATTAATGACATCAGCGAGTGACATCACGATTACGCCTGTGAATAGCCCCTCGACAAAAGGTGTGCGAAACTCAGACATTCGTTTTTACTGTGATGGTCTAAAAATCGCATATTCAAACTCCTGAGATCGAAATTAGTTATCCTGACATAAATAACTGAAAATTTCGAATTTGACGAATAAAATACCTCCATTCGTCACCAAAAATACTGTCTTTTATCCGTACCTCGCGTCTCCGTAATTCTGACACGCCCACTGTACCGCGTAATGATCGTAATCTGTTGTCAAAATCGTGAAGTTTGTTTTCATGCCAAGTGAGGGTTTAGGGAACACGATGTCGAAATTCGCTGAAGGTGCCTCGCCGATTGGAGTTGCTTTTCCTTCCCAGTCTACTTTAGCTCCAGAACTGCATGAAATTGACAAAGACAATGAATGAATTCGCACTGAAGAATATAAACCTTAATACTCGATTGTCTTACTTAGCCAGCAGTGCATTGAATTTAAGTTTTCCAATTCCATCTCCAGTTTTTATATAATTCCATCGCGAGCACTTATGCCCCGGTTCGTACAACGCATTTTTGTTGTGAGATATGACGTACCAAGGGCCCGTAAACTAAAATGAATCAGTATAACAATAGGCGATAAACCTAGCTCATTTGCAAAAAAAATTGAATTACATTGAATTTTTTCAGAAAATGCTATCGATTTTTTGCCAATTCTAATGGAAAATTGGGCAGCTTTTGTATACATTGTTTTTCTACAAAAAATGTTCATTAAAACAATCTCTTAGAAGTCTATAAGACAACGTGGAATTTTTGATGAGATTTTATTTAATAAAAAATTACGAGTGCGATGGAAATGATAAATTCTTTGCCTTCAAATATTTTATTTATTTGAGTCATCAAAATCGATGGTTTTCTCTACAAAAAAGGTCATTACGAAAATTTTGTTATCTCCCTCATATTCCGAGATATTTCTCAAAACCTCAGTTGAGGCCTAAATTGACTTAAACCGTTTTATCCCTTCACTATTGAAAACAAAACGTATGAAAAAATCCTATAGAATTTCGTATAGGATTTTTCTGGTGGGATTTCCTATAGGAATTCCTGTAGGATTTTCTATAGGATTTCCTAGATAAGTCACTATAGGGTTTTCTATAGAAAGTAACACACAAAATTGCCACTCGAAACCAATCGGTCACAAGGGTCAGGATTAGGGTTATAAATCTGATAGGAAATTCTATAGGGAATCCTATAGCATTTTTTCATACGTGAACGCGTAGAAAAACTGCGGAATTTGTCAGTAAAATCGGCTAAGAACTTATAGAATCTCCTACAGAACTACGACAGATTATTCTGTCAAATTTCATAACTAAAGAAACGTTTTCAGAGAAAACTGAACAAAGGTTTTTCTTCCCTTGACAGTCAAAAACGAAAAATGTTGTGATACTTACCTTCTCAGGATTGAAGTTTGGAACCGCTTTGACTTCTGGACAGCGGCCTAACTTTCCAACTTGAGCTAGGATAGGACTAGCCATCATAAGGATGCACACGAGATAACCAATCATCTTCATCATGATAAAATGAGACCCTCGATATTTTTGAAATTTTGGTAGAGCAGCTGAAGCTTTTGGTGAAGCTATGCCTGCACGAACCACCGATACCCCTTTTTATGCTGAATATTCTAATTTTCTTATCGCGTTACCTGAGTGATCATTCAATGGTGGTGGAACTCAAGATAATTTTGACATCTCTTCAATACTGATTCATATCAAATACTCATTTATATTAATTGTTATCTCCAGTGACTTTTTTTATGAGAAAACACTACGGTCTAATTTATTTATCGAAGCCAGTAAAGGAATAATTGAACAGAATGATATGAATATTGGATAAATGTTAGAAATTAAATAATCGGATGGGGATATTTTTCCGCCTCCGATTGGGCGCTGGTAAAGGCATAATCGAACAGAATGAGATGAATATTGAATGAATGTTAGAAATTAAATAATCGGATGAGGATATTTTTCCTTCAGAAATTGGGGTGTTTGAATTCTTCTTAGCTGGACATGTCCTCGAGTTTATTCTATTGGGAAATTCCTGGCTGATGCGATTTTTTTAAAGGATCTGGCTGGGGCCGCCCACAATACACACTGTTGAAAAATGTTGGCTGAAATTTCCGGAATAGTTTTTGAATATTTTTATCAAGTGCCGCTTATACTGAAATTTCAAGAAATTTGTCATTGAAAATTCACAATTTGATGAAAAAAATCAATGGAAACTGTAATTATCAGTTCTATTATTCCACGAAAATTAATAAGAATCAGGAAAATTCGGTTTAATATATTATTGAATTTTTAATTAACCCATGATTGGTAATCATATGAGGGTAACGCCGCTGTGCGTCGTTTTTCGTTAAGGGGAGACGGAACCCCTTTGTCTACATCAAATCTTAGAATTGTGTTTTCTCCTACAATTATTAATTTCTATCTATGAAATTACTTTATCGACTCGATTGCCGCATTGTTGAGTCAATGAAGTAGTTTAATGAATAAAAAATAATAATTGCAGGAGAAAACACAATTCTAAAGATTCATAAAAACGCAGGGGTTCCGTTACACTTAAGGAAAAACGCAACCCCTATGTGTATGAGAATTTTTAGAATTCTGTTTTTTCCTGCAATTATTATTTTTTATTTAAGCAACTATTTCATGCACTCAACAATAAAATAATTGAGTGGATAAAGGAGTTTCATTGATAAAAAATAATAATGTAGGAGAAAACACAATTCTAAAAGTTCATATACACACAGATGTTCCGTTCCCCTTAAGGGGAGACTACTATGAGTTTTAAAAGTTGTGGGTTATTGGAGTGAGACTTTTCATACGTTGAAGATCGATTATATAGATCTGAAAACGAATAATTAGTGCAAAAAAAATTTTTTTTTATCATTCGTTTGCCCGAAAACGCTTAAAATGCCAAAAACAGTTCAGGGCCTCCAATTTTTGAGCTACGAAGGATTTTCGCTGATTTGTCATTTTCTCATTGAATTTTTTAATTGAGTTGAATATTTCGGTTGAAATCATTCAATGTAAGAGTTAGAAGATATTTAACTTCGTGTCAAGAACTGTTTTGCTCAATATCTCGCAAACTACTGGGCCGATTTTATATTTTTCTCTAAAATACTCATCTTGCTATAGTCAAACTAAAATGTCGTTTCTCTGGAAAATTGTATTTCAATAGTTTTCATTGAAAAATCAACATTTCGACAATGGAAACCATCGCAACCTGTGGCCTGAAATTAGGTTTCTGAGGGAAAAGCAGATGTAGTTGGACTGTATCTTCTATCAAGATCAATTGAAATATAAATACCGGTGCATGCAAATTTGTTTTGGTTACTTAAGTGGTCGAGATATTTGCATTTTTATAATTTTTTCGTCTGAGAATGACTTTGACATTCCATAATACGCGTAAATTTGAAGTGAACATCTGAAAATTTGGCTACTAGTCAGTATTATCCACAGAGAAAAAAATGTGACAGATTTAAAAAAAAAATTTCAAGACTCTAGAACCCACGATTGACGTTCGGAGTGATTTCGATATTAAAATATGACAGCAATATTGTGCCACCTAATTTATTTGAAAATTCGAGGTAATTTTCCCTAACGCAAAGATCGACGGAGTATGTAAATCACGGAAATTCGTTTCTCTCATTTGTTTTATTTTTTTTTTGCGATTTTGTTCAAGTAACTAAAGCTGTGGTTTTACAAAATCGCAAGTATACTTTCCATATTGAAAATTCTAATACCTTTATCGGGTTATTTCAATCATGAATTGTGGAGGTAAAACTCAAAATAACTTCGACATTCCGTAAACACTAATTCATATTAAATACTAATTAATATTAATTGGTTTCTCCGTACACTGGCAATTTCATAAAAAAAGATTGCATTGTTTATTCCACCACGATGTATTTCTTGAAACAGATGAATGAATAACAGAAGAAAATGAAATGAACATCAAATAAATATTAGAGTAAAAAACATATAGATGAGCACATTTTTCTATCACAAAATTAAACTAATTCCTTTTAGCTGGACAATTCTTCTGGTCTGTTCTGTAGAAAAATGCTCGGCTGATGTGATTTTTGTCGAGGATTTTGTAAGCCTTCTCCACTACAGGTACTGGTGGCTGACGTTCTCTAGTTAAAATCCAGGCACTCTTGATGCTACCAAAAAGAAATACGATCATGACTACCTATTGAGAGATCAAGGTACACAGAGAGAAATTTCTTGGAAAAATTCTAGTATTAGTACTAGAAAAAATCACATTTCCGGACTGAAAAATTCCTGTGCTGATGATATAAGTATTCTGGTTATTTTTGGTAATATTTCCAAGAGTTTCTTGTTAAATGTGTGGGAATTGTGTGAACATTTCATAGAAATACAAGGGGGCTACGCCTCCTGCTCTCTCCGCTCGCCAACTGCAATATGACGCCCGTGTCCCTAATTCTGACTTTTTTTTGACTCCCATGACCTTTATCGGACCCTTATTTTGAACCTTGCGACTCTTAGTTCCTGACCCTTCATTTCTGACTCTTGGTTTTTGACCCTTCATTTTGGAATCTTAATTTTGAGTACCAAATTTTCATCACCAAAAGTAGACTTGGATTTTGATAATATAAAGAGAGCCCCATATGACCCCATAATCCTTATTTAGACCTTTATGCTGACTCTTTTGCCCTTTCATCTGACCCTCATGACCCTTGCAATCCTTAATCGGACCCTTTTGACCCTTAATCTGACCCTTGTAACCCTTGATTGGACCCTTTTGACCCTTATTTGGCCCTCGTGAGCCTTATTCTGACCCTTATGAACCTTAGTTTTCGACCCTTAATTTTGGAGTCTTTATTTCGAGGATTTTAATAATATAGAGCGAGCCCCGTATGACCCCCATTGTCCATTATTCTAACCCTTATTTTGACTTCCATGAGCCTTGTTTAAACCCTTATTCTGACCCTTGCAACACTTAATCTAACCCTTTTGGCCCTTAATCTGACCCTTATGACCCGTTTTCTGACTCTTGTAACCTTTAGTCTGACCCTTTTGACTCTTAATCTGACTCTCATGACCCTTATTCTGACCCTTGTAATTCTTACCCTGACCCTTTTGACCCCGAATCTGATCCTCGTGACCCTTATGTCCCTTAGTTTCTGCCTTATATATTTGGAGTCTTAATTTCAAGTACCAAATTTTCAAGACAGGCAAGAAAATTTCGCGTACTCCCTAATACAACTCCCAGTGCTGGCACCAGAACTTTACTGAAAAATTTCTCTACGTGTACAGTGGGGAAAACGTACCTGAATACTCCCATGTTTGTGCAACTCCAGAGAACAGCGTATGAATCATAATCTGTTCCTAAAACCCAATGAGGTGTCGGGTATTGGATCGGAAGTGATGGATAGGAAACTGTCAGTTTCGGATCATCTGCTCTGCTAATTGGGCGAGCAATAGCTTCAAGGTTCGATTCAATGCCAGTTCTACAGAAAACAGAGTGATATTGATGATATTATTTCGACAGCTTAATAACAGACAAGTGTATCAGCAGACGACGTCCGCAGCATTTACGCTGGTCTGTTATTAAAATAATGTGAATAAAGTGAAATAAATTTGAAATAAATTTTAAACGGAAGTTGATATGAATAAAAACATTGTGGTTGAGTTCGTGCTCAATTGGCAGCCTAATATTATTAATTATGATCAATTCAGAAGTGGCAAAATAACATAGAGTCTGATGAGGAAATTAATTTTTCGAGATTAGAGAAGATTAAAATAAAGAAAAGGTCTTAAAAAAACGAAAAACATGAATGAAAATGTTATGCCTAATACGAAAATTATCAGCAGTATGAAATTTTTGTGATAAAAAATTCATGTTTCTGGGTATCTCAAATGAACAAAGTGCCCTACTCTAACGCGCAACTATTGTTTAAGAAAATAATTATCGAGAGAATTTGGTGAATTAATTTTTTACTCTCGTCAAAGTTAGAATTCCTATATGAAATTGTCACTGATGAATCTTTTTTTTGGCATTTTAAATTTATTGTATTGAAAAAATTGTACAGAAATTGTCTATACGGATTGCGTATTGAATTTCTATAGGATTTTCGTATATGATATTTGGATATTTTTTATACAAATTATTTCTATACGATTTCTATAGGTTTAATCCTATACCACCCACTGCCACATGTATAAACATTTCGCATGTAGTTGCGACATTTCTCTACGTTTTTCTCTGGAGCGTTTAGACATCTTTCGTATGAAAACAAAACTTTATGTAAAAATTTATGTATAGAAATAATTCGTATAGAAAATATTTGTATAGAAATATCCGAATATCATATACGGAAATCCTATAGAATTTCTATGCGCAATCCATATAGAAAATTTCTATACGATTTTTTCATACGTGGCTACCCTCAACGACTTACGTGGAGTTTGCATGTGCACTCAGAGAAAAAATTACTTTTGACAAAGATCATTTCCTTCATACAAGAAAATATTCTCTTGCCAATTTCAAGAATCGTGAAATCTCCTCGTAAATAATTTCGTGTTCACACTGAGAGAAAGAGGTCTTTCAACAGGATGAGATTCTCTTGTGGCGAGAAAGTTTTTAAGCGTTAGTATAAGTCTTCCCATAAATTCATGCAGTTTGCGTTATATCTAGAATTTAATGGATTGTGAGAATTCACACTTTCCCAATCTGATCACTCATCATCTTCAAGTGAGAAATTCTTGTGTTGATTACACGACGAACACTTTCATTATCAATTCAAGTGTATAAAAAATTGATTTCAAGTGTTGTGCTCTTTGTGCAAGATTTTATGTAATCAAAGTCCTGATGAAAAAAAATTGTAGATATAACGCAAACTACATGAATTTATGCGAAGGACATAATTTCTAGTCTTGAGAACGCTTAAAAATTCTCTTGGGACAAGAGAATCTCATCCTGTTGGAAAACTTTTTTCTCTCAGTCTGAGAACGAAATTATTTATCAGGAGATTTCACGATTTTTAAAATTGAAATATTCTCTTCATACAAAAGAATATTTTCTTGTATTCGCCATCGCAACGTAGACGTGGGAGCCATCAAGTGGTCTCTACACTAACTACTCTTGGCGGGCAACGAATGAGATCACTGGGTTCTTCTTGATCTCATTGGTTGAGCTCCATCATTGGTTCCCTCCTAGGGATCTCATTGGTTGCCCCCCAGAGTAGTTAGTTTGGAGACCACTTGGTGGCTCCCACATCTACGTTGCGATCGCGAATTAAGTAAACTTTTTTTATCAAAAGTAGTTTTTTTTTCTCAGTATACTACTTTGCTATGGCGACCGGTCGAAAAACAATGAAGGTAACATGAGAATGTCATTTACCATTTGCATAATAGTTCTACCGCTCCGTAATAAACATGTAAAAGTTCATTTCAACCTCTCGTGAATATTTCGGCAATGAAATTTAACTTCAGCAGTAAATTTTCATGCGAGAAATAAAACTTACAATGCTGATGTTTGAGACGTAACAATTCTCAAAGCTCCATTCTGGCCAGCGGAATAGTTAAAAGTCCCACACTTGGCCCCAAACTCGACGATGGAAAAGTACCTTTCAGCTTCATACCACTTCCCCATGAACTGCGAAAAAAACCATCACTGAATGACAATTCCGAAAACCCTAGTAACACACTTACTAGCCTCTAAGCGTCTCTTGCGCAAGATTCAGTTCAGCTTTCCAATCTTACTTTCGTCGTGAATTCGAATGACTGACACGTACATCAATGATAACCTCAGTGCCATTGAACTTGAATCGAGTGAATACACGCGACCCCAAACTACAGAAATAGAAAATCACACAGCTTACCGTAGTCATATTGAGACGTTCAATGGTTTCTACTTCCGGACAAATTCCAAATGTGGGTAATAACGCCGCGCAGTGGCCCACGAGGGACAGCATGACAACAATCCACAACATAATTCGGAATGAAATTTCTAAAAAAAATGACATCAGTTGAAAAATCAAGAATTCTGTGAACTCAAGCATCAAGCTTTTACAAACCATCTGTTTCCAGATAAAATTTGACGTATTAAATCCGTTAAAAATTATCCCTGAATTTTCGCGCTTACGTGCCGAACAAGTCTTTCAGTAATTTTTCGCAAAACAGTAGTAAAAAATGATATAACTCTGAGAAGCATTGAAAGTTTTTTGTGGTCGTACAATTTTTACTAGAACTTTGAAGAAAAATCTTGAAACACCTGCAGTGTTGAAAAAATTTGTCTGCCCTAGTGGAAAAACATAAGGTGGAGGCGTAACATGCCTGATCAGAATTTCTAATCGGACTTGATCAGTTTCTGATCGAGACCTGAGCAGAATTTCCACTCAGGTGAATTTTCCGGAAAAACACCTTGAATTCGATTTAAGGATATCCAAGTAACTTCTAAAGTTTGGTACAGATCACACTATAGATTCAACCATTTTCAATCATCAAATTTGTCAATTAAATCGCATGAAAAAAATTTGAAAAAATCAAGAATATTCAGCGTCATTTGAATTACATTTTGCACCAAATTATTATTTTTTGAAATATTCGTTACTTATCAGTAAATAATTGAAATTGTGTCAACTTTAGGAAACGTTATTATTTTAAACATGAAATCGATTTCTGGTAAAATGCTGAATATGAATAAATTTCTTACGATTCCGAACCAATGATTTTTATGGTGGAAAATTGATTGTTTATAAATTATTCATAAGAAATGCTCGTGATTTTTAAGAATTACATTTTTTTAATTGTTTCATCAATCTTCCTCCAAAAGTAAACTTTCAGATTTAAAATTTTTTTTTAACGGTTAATCATCCAGATTCAAATTTAGGCCTGCAAATTTCAAATAATAAAATCATTGTAAAATGTTCAGAAACTTAGAGTCAAATGAAAGTTCTGATGTTCGACTGCAAAAATAGAAAAGCATTTCACTGGAAAAAAAATAGCCAAAGTACTTGAAAAAAGTCAATGGAATTTCAAGTTTCTTTAAAAATTCAAGTAAAGTTCCAATTTTTTTGCGGCAAGAAGATGAAAATTCCACCATTCACCGTGCTATTTAGTCGCCAGCATTGCCGAATTCACTCTACACTACCGAGGCACGTTCAGCTAATTTTCGACAACGCCGCATAACGGGCAATTTCATTTAACATGGGAAAAAATAATCATCTGTTGGAAATTGTTTGGTTTCTTTTAGGCAATTCCGGAATTATGTCGTTCTAAAAACTACTGGAATTTCTCAGACACTTCATTTAAAAAAGTTATTGCGCTGCGGCATTTTCCTCATATGGTGACTAATTTAGGGTTAAAATTCTTGAAATTGCATAAATTTTAAAGGAATATTCATGATTTTTCATTCATTTTCCCGGAATAACTAAAGTAAAATTTACACTTTCTCCGGTTTTTTCCTAAAATTATGAATTTTCAATGATAAAATTGAAAATCCTTGAAAATTCAGTGGAAATGTGACTTGTTAGAAGTTTCCAAGGCCCTTACCGGAAATTTCAGTATAAAATTTGCAACGCTGAATAAGGCTACACGTTTACTATAATAATTCAGGAACAATGGTTAACAGATTTTTCTTTCCTCTAACCCACTCACCAATTCAATTCAGGTAATCGACCTGCACTCTCCAAAACCTTCTTGCCTTCTCTGACCTTGACCCCCAAAAATCCCGGAAATATCACCAACAATAGAAATCACCGATACTGCAGCCGATCCACTGCCAAACGTGTCTCACGCACTGCACATCGTCCACTGGCCTTGGAAGCGACACTCACTAGTGAAGAAGTTTTGTCAGTTAGTAGGTCAGTAACGGTAAATTAAGAAGGTTCAAGAAACCCCAGAAGATCACCCGCGAATCGATTCCCAGCCAATGGCAGCATTTCAGCCGATGGCTTCTCCCAATCATTGGCAATTGTTCAACTGCCCATGACCATAAAACAAAATTGCACGTGCGGTAAATTCCTCAAATGACCTCTCTCTCTTTCCCATCACCTCTCATCCTTTCCATGACTAATTTTCTCTCAATTTTTAGCAGCGAATACCTCGCTCATCAACCAGATAACCGCCGAGTCATCGTTTTTATAGATGTACATGAATTTCTTCGGGTCGGTCAATTAGTAACCGGTTTTTCTCCGCGAAAAAATGAGGAATCCACATGTGGTGGTGTGCCAGTTCGCCGCTGGTTATTCAATCGCCCCAGCCAAGTCAATAAAACAGGTGATAAACAAGATACAAGGGTCTGAGGTTTTGACAGTAATAATACAACTCCAATTAAAGTAGAAAACATTTTTATGTAACAATTTATTCACAATTTTTTTGTAATCACTTTTTGTACAGCAATTTTTTTCATTTTTCTCCTTTCATTCGTTATACTTTTTTCATTCAGTCTACCACAGCTACGCTTGATCTACCGAGAATACAATTAATTTCGGACGATTTTAGGCGAGACTGGCTGGGTCTTCATTATTATCAACCACAGCAAGCCTAAATCTCCGGGCATTGACCTTATCATTAAATACGAAATAATTGAGGGAAACCGCGGATCTACGACTTCAAATGATCCGTCTTCTTCGGTTCCTCTTTGGGGAGTTGAATGGGTTTTTCAGCAGGTTCCTGGGGCTTATCAGGCTCACTCAGGGCAGATTCGGTCTTCTGGACGTGTTTGACCGGCTCTTCGGGTTCTTTGGCTGGAGGTGTCTCCTTGCTGATCTCAGCGGTCTTCAAGATTACCTCTGGGACGGTCTCAGGCTTTTTCTCCTCTTTGATGACTTCGGTGAGCACCGGCTCTTCTTTAACCGGTTCAACCTTCAAAGGTTCTGCTTTCGCCGGCGCAGCTTTCACCTCTTCTGGTTTCGGTTCCTTCGCTTTCTCAGAAAGCTCGGCTTTCCTTGTCTGGATGATGATCTCAGGAGCATCTGGGATGATCGAAGATCGGAGATTCTCGCCTTCGTGAGGCTCTTCAACAGGATCTGCTTGGTTTTCGTCTTCTGCTGGGGGATCAGCTGGAGGGGCTGAGTCCAGGTAGGCGCAGTCATTCTGGTCAGTCTTCACGAAGAACGTCTTGGATATCTTGTACTTGTCCAGAACTCCATAAGCCTGAAGAAATAAGAGCAATCTCGAGTGAATTCTTCATTAACCAACGATCGTCAGTCGAAATATTGTATTAACGGTGATTCTTTACCTGCTGGAGGACATCCCCAGACGGCCGACGCTGCCTAGTCATCAGCCAGGCGTTTTGCGCGTGAACGGGCCCGATGCCAGAGCAGCTCCACAAAACCGCGTAGTTCTTGTAATCAGTCTCCAAAACGGCGTAAGAAGTTTCTGGTGTCAACGGGACAGTCGTGTATCTGACGTGAAGCTTGCCTTCTTCAGCCTTCGATGCTGCTGGCTTGATCTCACCCTCCAGTACTCGTTTAACCCCAGTACTGCGTGGTAATAATACGAGCACTCGTAATCATAGTTTCAACATGATGATGGACTAACAAGAATCAGTTACTTACAATCTGTTGGTGACTTCGTTGCTGACACGCAATTTGCAATCGTTTCCCCGGGTGTAGTTAGCCATCACGCAACGGGACACCACCTCCGACAGCTGGAAGTACCTTTCTGCCTCGTACCACACGCCCAAGAACTGACAATAGAAAAGTTGGTCGGTTGGATTAGAAGAAAATTATGATTTTTTTGGTTTTTGGATCGAGAAAGGAACGGGAATAGCTGGCTTACCTTTCCGATATCGAAGTTGGCCATAGGTACATACTCGGGACACCATCCCAAACTTGGTACCTGTGCCCCGACCAATGCCAGGGCAGAGAGAACGAGTAGGACCTGCTTCAACATTTCTCGCGATTCTGTCGTAAGGATCGCCTGGCCCCGCGCTTTTATACATTAACCGAGACTGGAGGTGCGTTGACCGGACAATTCTTCTTCTACCTCCCCTCGCTAATTCCAAACACACCTCTTGCCCCTCTCTGCTCAACAGGAAGGACTGGGCAGGCACACATGTGGCCTCGTGTGTACTCCTCCAACCCATTGCGGTACCCGTCTCTGGGATAAGCGCCAGCTTGCAGCATCTGAGAGACTCTGCTGAGAGCACTACGTCTCGAGACGGTGGGTCATTGGTTGGGACAGGACTGCATCGTATTTGTCCTGGGTCTCGAGTGTTTTTCGCCATTATCAATCCGTCATCTTCGCGCTACGCGGCTGATTGGGTACAGTGCAACGACCCTGGCGAATCTTTTGTTGATTCCGAATGGAAGCATTGTAATCGTACAAATTTAAGAGTCGGATTTTTTAGTTAGAGTAATTTGTTGTGGTCTAATAAGTTCGAATATGCCATCTTTGTCATTCTGAGCGTAACGCAGCACTTTACCCTACGCGTCCGTGAATCGTTGTGTACGGGCGTAATGACAAAAAATATTGTTTGTCATACGACCTAAAACAACTTTTCTAGCTCATATGATTGCAACCCTCGCCTTCGGCTCGGGCTGCAAACTCATTCGCCAGGAAAGTTTTTTTCGGCCTAATGACGAGATATACCCTATCCTATTTTAAATCTTATCCGTATGTATGTGCGTATGTATGTTTGTACGTATGTGTCCATGTGACAAACTTTTTCTTTAAGAGGTAACAAAATGCCGTTAATTTTCCAAATTTTTGAACAAATTTTCTGTCGAAAGTTATCACTATTTTTACAAATCGAAGGAAATTAATCTCCAGAAGATGATGATGAAGATCAATGTGCTTCGAATTCGAAAAATATTAATAACAAACAGGAAATGGTGGCCTTCTGTTACCCCTTAAGGGATCTCCCCAGTACTTTTGGGTAAAATATGACAATGTGCTTGCGAATTAAATATATCATATAGTAATCAATAATGTTGAAAAGGTATTTGTAAAAGCAATTCTAACTACTTTTATCGTTTCGTTCGTGTTTAATTAATTATTAATAATAAATTGCACCTTATACACAACCTTTATGGACGCTACTTTGTCCCATACCTCTCACACTGTTGACAATGTGCTAGCCAGCAAAGGAAGCTAAATTGTTCTATATTAAGCCCTAAACAATATGGACACGAAGTCCCATTGGGTTTTATCGTTGATTTGTTCAATAAATTAATGATAAAAATACTATGGCGATGTCTGTCATTATCCAACATACGCCATGTTTGATGTCCCATCTCTCTCGAAACTAAACTCACTAACTTGACTATTTCACACTCCACTCACCCACGCGCCCATCGCAACTGCGGAGACCCCTTAAGGGGAGACTACTATAAGTTTTAACAGACGCGGGCTATTGGAGTGAGATCTTTTATATATTTAAGATCGATTATATATGTTTAGAAATGAATAATTAGTGCAAAAATGTTAATTGTTCATTGTTCGTTTACCCCGTACATGTTTAAAATGTTTAAAATAGTCCCGGACCTCCAACTTTTAAGCTCGGGGGTTTAAAATCAAAGAGGTTTTTTTTCAAACTTTTTGAAAAAATGGGTACAATAACAATTACGGGCTAGTGTTTTGAAATTCGACTTGTACACAGCTAATTTCAATTTTTTTAATGTAAAAAATTGCACCATTCGAGTACAATAGCCAGAAAAATGTTTCTGAAAGACACGAGAATATTTTTTAAATATTTTAAGGATCATTTTTCTGGCTATTTTACATGAATGGTGTACTTTTTTAAATAAAAAAAACAAAATCATGTACGCGTCGAATTAAAAAAAAATAACGCGTAATTGCAATTGTACACTTTTTTCAACAATTTAAAAAAAAACTCTGTAGCTCAAGAATTGGAGGCCCTCGACTATTTTTAAGACTTCAACCATCTGCGGAGCGAATAAACAATAAAGAATTAATTTTTTGCACTAATAATTCGGTTTTAAGGAGTTTCTACAATAAACGTAACGCAGGTTTTACGCAACGCTTGCAATTGTTAAAATGATCGAAAAACAATTGAATGATTGATTCAAACAATTGCACGCGTCGTGTTAATCCTGCTTTGCGTTTCATTGTAGAATCTCCTTTAGACGTATATAATCGATTGTCAATGCATGATAAATCACACTTCTATAGCCCGGGAATTTAAAAACTCACAGTAGTCTCCCCTTAATTGTTCGCTGATAAATCGATAGAATTGAATTTTCTTTTCAAGTGTAGATATATTTGAGCCCTAATCATCGACATGAATTAAAATTCCATTCATATAGGAGAGTCGGGCAAAATGTGACCTTTCGTGATTTTCTCTAGTTGTCAATATCTTCACTTATAAATGAAAATATTGACAATTGGAAAAGACCTCAACACGTCCCAATTTGCCCGACCCTCCCTTATCATATTTTTGAATTTTTGAATTAAAAAAAAAATGGGTTGTCCCACCGTAACTAAAAAGAAATATTCTAATGAAAATATTAATTTCAAAGTCGCTCTGTCGCAGTTAAAAGATCGTTACGATACCTATATTCGTTGGTTTGATTTTTATAATAAATAATTTTTGTAAATTTAGAATTTTCCCCAAATTGCTCTGAAGTGACTTTTCTGATGGTTTCTTTGAATACGATGATTCAAATCCATTCCATTATATAGATGGCATCAGTCTTTTTTCAATAATTTCGGAAATTATTCTCATAGCACGCAAAAGTTTGTTGATTTTCCATCTTTTGGAAAAATTACTTTCACTAATTATTTAAATAAATAAAAAAAATTAAAATTGATTCAATTGTCATTAAAACGACCTACTTCGCCTTCACTTTCATCGAATACATGGATGGCGCAGATATATATTACTTCATACGTGAAGTTTCATCAAATATTAAACTAAATTAAAAATGTAACATAATTGATTAAAGAAGAAATTTCATTGAATTTAAAAAAATGATATGAAACGATGAATTATGTACTATGGAAGCAAATGATGTTCATGTTCTTCGTGTTTGAGGACTCAACTATGGTAATGTCAAGGTCATCGCTATTGGCTAATGGAAGGTATCGGATTAACGGGATTGGAAAAATGATGATGATTTTTGGGAGAATCACGGGAATGATGAGTTAGCGAAGGCTTACTTTAACGAGAATCTCGAAGGTTACAAGAACTTCTCCACGTGGAGCTTCAAGATGGCTCGTTTACTTTGTTCTGGTAATGGGAGAGGAAAGTAAACTTCGGCATGTTTTTTTTCCCTCATATTCCCCAAGGTGAAAACAGCAAAAAGGGAAGCCAACTAATAAATAAAAATAACAAACCTCGTCCTGCTACAACATGGGTATATTGAACTCCTGCGGGCAGATAGCAGCGGTGGTCAAAGCCCCCAAGCAGCCATCAGGTTTTGTGTTTATGAGTGTGGGTAAAATTATGGACTACAGTAGTTGCTACCTTCTTTCAATATTCACCTTGTTATTGCGAATTCCTGGAGAGATAATCATTATTTTGGACTCATTATTTTCAATCGTCATGATAAATTCAGTGGGACAATTTTTCCGATGAATCGAGTGATTTTTTGTTCTCATTATGTATATCCAAGTACTTTGACTATTTTTTTCTCCAGTGAAATGCTTCTCTACTTTTGTAGCCAAACACTATAGCTTTTATTTGAGCCGCATTTGACCTCAAGTTTCCGGACATTTTACAATAATTTTATTATTTAAACTTTGCAGGTCTGAATTTGAATCCCAATATTAAACTGTCAGTACACATTTTTAAAATATGTAAAAAAATTAGAAAGTGTACATTTTGAGAAAAAGATTGACGAAATAATTAAAAAATTGCAATTTTTGAAAGTTACGAGCGTTTTCTATGAATAATTTAGAAACAATCAATTTGTCTAAAAAAATAAGGATTCCAATAATTTGAACAATTCCGATTATTTATTTATAAACAACGAATGCTTAAAAAAATAATAATTCTGTGCAAAATGCAATTTGAATTACGGCTAACATTCATAATTTTTTTTCAAACTTTTTCTTTCAAACGCAATTTAATTAACAAATTTGATTATTGAAAATGGACATCTATAGTATGGTCTATACCAAACTGTAAGAAATACTTAGATATCCTTAATTGAGAAGATTTTATCGTCTTGTTGGTGATGCGATCGGTGTATGCAGGAGTTCTGAAAATAGACGGAGTGGAGCGAGCATTTATAAAAGCAAATGAACTAGAAGGTTGGTCAGGTGGTTTACCATTGAGTTGCACAGGAAATTACCATAAGGAATATGGTGGGGACATCAATTATTTATCGGAGAGAATCGTTTCTAGCATAGGGAAGGGTCTTGTGTACTTGTCCCATGCTTTGTATACTTGAGTGGACCCATAACGGGGCTTGTCAATGGCATTTTTCTCTTCTGCAAGTGTTATTTTCACGTTTTTTCTGTACTCCGTAGAAAATAAATTTAACCGTTAAATTTATGAGACGAGAACAAGACCATTGCGCGTCTCAATAGGTTGTCCACGGGATTAATGATGATTGTGGAGACGTTTTAATGTACTTACGTGATAACGTCAGTTATTGGAGATAGAATTATCCGCATGCTTACAGATTGTTAAACATGATTCGAAGGATGCGATTAATTATATTTTGGGTTGAGTGGGAGATTCATTGGGGATTGATGAGAATTGGAGGAATTTACAGTTGAGAATTAATGATATGGGTGAAGTGTTGCTAATCGGTATTCCAGGCTTTCCTTCACTTCAGCAGTTTTTTTTCTTCAATTCATTTATTTCCTGTTTAGCACGTTTTTCTCCTTTCTGTTTAAGTCTATCGACCACTATGAAAGCACTCGGAGACATTATTTTTCGCATGGTATGGCATGGAGTATCTTAACCCTAGAAACGCCGCAGA